CCCCGCACCGGAGCCACGCCCCGGGGCGGCTCCCGCCTGCCCCGTGCAGTGCTGCGCCCGCCCGCGGGCTGCCCGCGGTGCCCCCTCGTACTCACCATCTTGCCCCCTGTGGCCCTCATGTGCTGCTGCTCTGCCAGCCAGTGCTTGTCTTGCGGGTCGGCTGCGTACTGCAAGAGAGCAGGAGGGCTGGCTGGGCACAGGGACGGAGCCTCTGCTCCGAGCCCCGCGCTGGGACACGCTCCACGCTGTGCCCGAGCCCCCGTGCTGCCGGGAGGGAGCGCTCAGCTCTGCCTGCTTTTATTGAAGGCTCCAGGCAAAAGCAGCGCCACGGAGGCTGCACGAGGCCCTTAGCTCGTTTCCCTGTGTGCTAGCCAGACTCTACGGCTTCTAGGACAGCAAACAAGGGTGTGGGAGAGGAAGAAAACAGTGAGCCAAAGCACACACTGCTGATTCCCATCACAAGCTGCTTCTGAGCAAGCCCCAGAGGAGGAAGCATCCTGCTGCCGTATCTGACCTTAAAGAGGTGGGGATGCTTGATGTAGAGTCGCCCTCTTGTTCCGCCCATCCCGAGAGCTCTGCAACAGGAACAGCAGCGGGTGTTAGAGCGGTGCAGGACAGCTGCTGGCTGGCACAGGGACCCTTCCTCTCCTCCCCGAGCCCCTGCCCTTCCTACTGCTTCCGAGGCAGAGAAGTGAAGTGACGGGAGGAGTCTGATGTGCTCCTGCCTGGGAGACACCACCCTCCAGCAACAGGGCCATTCCTTACTTGTTTGCTCGAGATCCCAGCACAAAGGTTGTGGTTTCAGTCAGTCGGGATGGATCCCACTACAGAGCAATTGGAAAAGGGGCAACATTAGAAATGAAGCTGGTGCCAACCAATGCTCCATGAGCCTCAGATCTCTGGTGGGGAACCTCAGAACCGCCCCCTGGCCTGGGAGGGAGGCTTGCAAAACTCTGGATTTCCAAGAGGAGGGGAATTATGTCACCCTGGGCTGCTCTAAGTTGTCTCCTTGGCACAGAGTATCTGTGGGATCCTCGTGGCTACTACTCTTGCCCTAAGTCTCCTAAAGAGCTGGTACCACAGCTCCAGCTCCAGTGTCTGGAGGAGACAAGCACAGGCTTCCAGGCACTTCACTCCTTGCTTTGTCCATTTGACACAGAGGCCCCTGAGAGCAGAGCACAGCTCAGAACTGTCCTCCGCTCCCACAGCCGGTAGGAGGGCTCTGCTGGCGGAAGCAAAGGGGAGGAGAGGGAGAGCCCAGCAGTGTTGGCCAACCGATACCTTTGGTCCTTCCCTTCTCACAGGCTCAGAGACTTTGAGTTTCCACCTGAGCGGAGAGAAAACAAAGTCAGAACAGATCCCTGAGGGACCAACCCACAGCACAACCCTGCAGGGAGCTGAGCTCCACCCCTCCAGCTGCACCTTCACTCACACCCACTTCTCTCTGGTGCCCAGCTCTGCAGCCTCATTCCTGGGGCACGTTCTCTGCTCCCAGCTGCCAGGAGCCCACCACTACCCGTGTCTTATGCCACTCACTCCAACCATCCCTCTGGACCCCTGTGCCCTTGGCCTTGCTTCCCAAGGGGCCTCTGACACCCGCTGCTTCCTGCAGCATCGCTCCCGGTGCTCCCGCTCGTACTCACGCAGCCATGGCCGAGAGCCCACGGTCATTCGCCAGGCTCTGTCCTGGAGGCCGCCCCTTTCTCTGCAAGGAAGAAGCCCTCTGCTTACTCACTTGTCTAAGCTGAAGGAAATCTTTCAGTTCTCCCCCGCTGGGAAAACCGCTCCTTTAGCCATGAGGAAAATGCAACTAGCCCAGGAGGAAGGGTCTCTAAGGCACCCCAAAAGCTGCACCTGCATTTGCATGCACTTATATAGCAGGAAGGATGAGGAACAGATTCCCACGACATGGAATTGTTTGTGTGGAAAACCCTACCTTTTTGGGAACAGGGCTTCCTCGCCGATGCAGCTCCTCATCCAGCTGTCGGGCACGCTGGCAAAGGAATGGCAGGAGGTGAAGAGCAGCCCTTGTCCCCTGGTGCTCCCTGCTCTGCTGCGCTCCAGGCTCGGCGCAGGGAGCGCCGCAGTCAACCCCTCTCGGAGCGATGCCCTCGGTGGTGACCAGCAGCCCCGCAGGCTCCTCTCTGCCAGCCTAACCCCTCCCAGCCTAATCCCTCCTCGTTAGAGCAACTGTTGGACGAGGTACTGGGGGCAGAGATTCACCCCGCAGCTCTGAAGAGACAGCCCTGCACCACCTGCTTGCAGGCTGTTTCTGAGGCACAACAGGGACAGGCAGAGAACAAAGCAGCTCAAATCCCTCCTCCCGGCTCCTAAAGGTAAAGCCAAAAGACTCTGAGAACAATAACAACTTTTACCTTTGGCATGGCCTGCTCGTGGGGCAGCCTGGGGATGACCTTCTTGCCGTCAGAGAAAAGCAGCTTGGCCTGCAGGAGGGGAAAGGTTATCTGGTCCTGAGCACAGAGAGGGACTGTGAAAGGGGCCGTGTGTGCAAAGGTGCTCGCACTGCAGGGAGAGCCCTTGGCATGTAAACTTTGAAAGTCACAGCTCGTAACCCAAATGCCACAGAGGCCACAAGGGCTGGTCACTGCAGACCCGGAGATCTAAACGTATCTGAAGTGCAGAGCTGCTCAGAGAGACGCAAGAGCGCAACAGAGTCAGGACAGCTGGGGCAAAAGCAAGATGTGCAAGAGCAAAATGAGCACCTTGCTGGAGGAGCCCACGATGGGCACCAGGGAACTGCAGCCACCGCGGGAGCTCCCTGCTGCAGCCGGCTGACAAGCACGGACAGGGCAGCAGCGCGAAGCTGCAGCGCAGGGAGGGCGACTCAGCACCCAGCGCCTTCCTTCTGGCGGGGAAGGAGCCATGTGCAGTGACAGGGGAAGGGCTGCGGATGCCCTTCTGTGGCCACCCCGCGAGGGCGGCTGCCCTGGGCACGCAGGGCCCTTCCTGACGGTGCCCACCTGCTCCAGGCAGCTCCGACACGTCTCCTGGATGAGCTGCTCCGGGTCCACCTCCTCCCCGACATTATCGCGCACATTGATGGCTGCTTTCTGGAAAAACTGGCGGAAAGGAAGAAAGGGCTGGAGCCCAAGCGGCAAGACAACGCTGGGGCACGTGGACGGGACATGGCTGTCACAGTGCCCACCGGGAGGGCACGGCTCCACGCAGCGCCCGGCTCTCACCTTCATGTACTTGTTGAAGACGGCCCGGATCTCCTCGTTGATGCTGGGCAGCAGCCCGGCCCGCAGCAGCTCCATGGACACCACCGGGTCTGTGAAGCTGGAGCTGGCGGCGTCAGACCCTCCTCCCCCAGCGCAGCCCAGCCCGGCCCCCCCGGCCCTCCAGCTGCTCCTGGCCCAGCTCCCCCTCCCCAGCAGGCCCAGGGGGTCGCTGTCCCCCAGGCACCTTCCCTGGCCCGACCTTGGCCCCGTCCCCACAGTCCTGTCGGGACCCCCACCCCGAACAAACCGCTCTGGCCCCATCCTGCTCCCGGCCTGTCCCGGTCCCGGCCATGTCCTGCCTGTTTCCCCCCAGCCCGTGTCGCCCCCTAGCCCGGTGCCCGCAGGCCCCCGCTACCTCGTGGTCATCTGCGAGCGGCGGCCGCCCCCCCGCACCCG